ATTTTTGTTTTTTTTTTGTCAAAAATAAATTCTTAGATAAGAATTTTAATTCTATTTTAACGTAAAAATATTGAAAAAAATCTAGCTACGATGAAAACTTTATTGACAAAAAAAAATTTGGTGCCAAATATGGAATATCATACAACAATGTTATATTCAAACTATTTTGAAGCTACAGTATACACCAAGCAGTATGAAATTGTAAATAACAGTTTCTTTCTTTATTAATACACAACGGTATTGTGCATTTTGTGCACACTATATATGTTTTCCCTGTACAGCCTGGAAATTTGCATCTTGACCTAGTGCTCTCATCCCAATAAGGAAAATTATCAAGCCCATCTTTACAGATGTCTTCTTGGAGTATTTCTTTAGTGGTTTCCTTTTTTCGTTTGTTCTCGTACATCTGCTGAATGCTACTACTTACGGTCTTCCTACTCTTTTCTGTTTAATTGGTTTTCCGGCTTTCCGTTCTTTCAGACAAAGGATGTGGCAGAAATGACAGTTTCCTTGACATTGCGTGGTTACTTTTCACGCTCCTCATTGTCACTATCTTGACACAATATCATCTCATTTGTGCCGTCTTCATCGGAGAGATCTGATTATTCACTATTAGTACTATTTCTAATTCTCACTGCATTCATTGTACCATAAATGAGTTTCGGATCCATATCTACAAAAACAATCAATGGGTCCAAACTTCATAGTGTGCCATATATAGCACAAAATCTTTTTGGGGTTTTCGAGAGACTTTCAACATTCTTAATTTTTAGTACTTACCTAAGCAGATATCTAATATCACAATACAATAAATTTCAATTTTTTCTTGCCGTAAAAAACGTTTTTTACTATGAAAAATAACCTCTAACTTCGAGCACTGTTTCACGTGGTTCAGAATTTCAACAAGAATGAACTTGACACTGCGCATGGCTGTCTATCTCGCCGTCAGAACTATGCCGCATATCTCGTGTACACTATTACGTGTCAGATATGGGCTGCCATGCAGCTATGACAAAAATTGAGTTAAAACATTAAAAAAAAATTTTTTTGGTTTGTGCCACTTATGACACATGATGCGATAAAGGGTTAATACTTAAAAGATCCAATAATGTAGGATCACAATTTAGAAATACCAACTGGTCTATATAAATATGCTTTTTTGTATTTTTTAGTTCTTTCCAAAGTTATTACCCTCAGCAGGAGATCCAACTTTTGCTAAATTCTGTAACAGTTCTAGTCCCGAACCATTTTATTCTCCAGGAAATAGAGTCAGCATACATTTCCACTCAGATGATAAAAATAACTATCCCGGGTTTCAGATAACTTATTCTGTTGTAGAAGGTGAGTGCATATTTAATATTTTTTTAAAAGCAGTTTCTTTATGATAATTTTGCTTTTTTCCTGGAAATTTTTTCCAGAAGAAATTGGTCAATTGGCATTGCCAAAACGATAAACTTTAAAAAACGAAGAGAAAAAGGTAATTTCATGAAGAGTAAAAGAAATATTGAGTGCACAGAACAAAATATTTACATACACTTTAGAGCTTTAATAACTTTTGAATTCTTCTTTATTTACATTTACTTTCGATTTTGTACTTTTTTCTAGTTCCCTTATATACATATATAAATACTTATGTTTTTTACCTTATTCTACAATCTTTTGGTACTTCATCATTAGCATATCTCTTAAATATTGGTGAATGTAATTTACATACCATTAAAAGCTGATTTTTGATTATTGCAAGCTCAAATGGGTAATTGGACATATAATGGATATTTTTTACTTGTCTTCCAGGGGTGCCAGGTTGTGGAGGTGTTCATACCGCTACAGAAGGCGTAATTACTTCATCACATCCGGACTTTGGTGACCTAACCGTTTGCCAGTACAAAATTCAAGGAAGTTCCGACAC